TAAGTATGCCAAAGTTGCCTTAATTGTATGTCACCATTTAAAACTGAAGAGTATCGCAAAAAAAAGGCAATAAATAAAGTTAATATCTTACCAAACTGACAAACGGAAATGTATACTTTGGTCATTTAAAGTTATATTATGTAAATCAACTAAACAATACAGAAATGTTCAGCGAGGTAAAAAGTAAAAAAATTTATAACTTTTGAAGTAGGAAAAAAAAGAACATTTTATAAATCTGTTGATGGCAGATTGATACACAGTCAAAGCTTGCAGAAACGGTAAATAAATTTACAGTTATTTTTACGTAAAAGTACTTTTTTCTACAACGATTCTTCTGTAAAACAGTTCCTCAGACCGATGAGGAACTGCCAAAGAAAAACAGGTGTTAGTTTTAGCTTCTTCTTTAAATGACCACAGCAAAGGAAAAAGAAGAAATGATGACAACACCAACGGATAAAAGAAATTGGATGTAATCAAGCTTGAAAATATTTTTATAGACTAATGATTAGATTTTAGCTAGCGTTAATTAGATGAGTAAGTGTGAAGGAAAAATTGAAGAAAGAGCAAATAAAAGCAGAGTGTGTTCTGTGATACAGAAGACAGCTGAGTGAAACGATGAACAACGGGTATAACTGTAGATCAACCAATGTTGAAGCATATCCATGGCACTAATGGCAGTCATCGTTATGCATCAATGAACCAGTTCCAAGATCTGTATCTTCCTTTTTTTTTTTTTTTTTTTCAAAACAGGTTATTTGAAATAACATCGCTCAAACACCATCTATTCATTTTTTGCACTTTTTTGAAACTTTTTTTCCAAAAAAAGAAAAGAAAAACCATAAAAGAAAAGTGCTATTTTTTCTATCGATTATTCAGTAATTATGAAATTATTTCAACAAAAAGGTTTTTGTTCTTATTATTATTTCTGAACAAGTCAATAGTGATTTTGTTACATTAACAAATATTACGAATATCATCTGTACCGATAACTGAAGCAACTGTTAACTGATACAGCAAATGTAGCTATAACTTATTGTTCGTCGTCTTCTAAGCGTAATTTTCACGAAAAAAAAA